CTAACACAGTTCTGCAGTACTTTTCGCCGAATCGGGCCACATTCAGGAATCCTCAAAAAACGAAGGTACGCAAACGTCAACCACGATAGCATTGTTTTGTAATCATTAGAAGGACAACCCGTGAGCTTCCTCCTCTTGATCTGTCACCTTACGGTGGACGCAACAATAATGTTGAGCAAATCAGTGATCCGAATTGTCTGATGAATGGTGCCTTTTAGGGTGAATATGTAATTGTCAATGAAATGGGGTGAGAATGCAACCGATTCGGACACTTTTATGTGCGCAATATCTCAGCATACCAACTCAAAGATGCCCGTGCATGACCGTATCGTTGTATGAAAAATTACGTTTGCTTGACCATAGGAATCAACTGTTTTGACTTCCGGAGATAAACAGATGTGGTTCCAATGCCTGGCGCAGGTTATGCGTCACAAAACCCAAGAGTTGACGGAAAGTCGGGAAATTCCAACTCGCATTCTCGACAAGAAGTCGAAAATCGAAGCACGAGGAGCTTTAAAAACGAACGATACTCGAAATTATGTGTGTTCTTGTGACAAATGAGGCGTTTTACACTTATGAATATGGAAATCCGCTAATGAATGCTGTCGGAGCTGAACCGATACGGTGGTCTGTGGAGCAGAACTGATGTTTAACAACGGCAACTTCTGTGCTTCGACATTCCTGAAGTATAAGTGTTCAGCGTATTTTTTTCAATGGAAAATTTACAGGAAGCGTACCAAAAAATACTCCTTAAAAAACGGACGGACGCATTCATTACTGTTCAACTCGAAATAAACAATGATCCCACTAAGCTGCAACGGTACAAGGAAATAAAAAAACGTGACGGAATCCTTCAGGAGTGAGTAGAATCGCGGGATGTAGATAATAAGGTTGACGCAAAATAGATATGGACATCAACAGTGCATCCTGAAAAGCTAGAAAAATACTTGCGAATCACTTAATTACACAGAACACACTTGTCATTGACATCGTTACAAACAGAGTAGCCGGTGTGTGGACAATCGTGCTTGTTTGCCATACTACTAGTAAATTTATCTAAGGAGAATGAAATGAGAGCGGCAAAGCAGCTCACACCTGAGGTTTATCCAAACGCGTGTTCAAATCATCTGGATTGAAGGTGACAGCATGAAGCCACCGCCACTGGTTAGCATCAAAGTCTTCACCCTCCCAGTGAGGATAGACTGATAGTACAGTGCTTCTTGTTTTCCTTGACATAGCTTTGTTTCACTTTCAGAACGAAATCTCTATTAGGAACTTATCACAAGCGACTTTTCTAACGCCCGACTGCTGACCAGATGCCGGAGGATGGTAATAATGATAATTACAGACAGATATTGAAATTTCTACCTCAGGCTGGAAGTTCAACCTGTCGTAAGGCTCGCCTAACCTGTTCCGAGCTTTGGGTCTCTGATAGGACAGCGGCTTTGCTGGAAGCCTGGCGGCAGTCTTCCTCTGGCTCTTACAAGAACTCAGAGCATAATCCGATGCCAGATAAAACTGAGCGTTTGTGCACGTTGCGGAGCTCGGTTAATCCAGAGGTTCAAAGAAGTGTAAGGAGCGATGAGTGGTGGAGGGTGTTTAAATTGGTTCGTCTAACATATCCTCACTGGATCCATTAAACATCACAACGGCTCTCAGCAAAGAGGAACGAAAGGCAGACACTTAATATGGAGCCCACTTCGGCCTAGAAAGTGTCCGAATGTATATTCCTCCTCAAGAGTTACCTCGCTTCTGGTCACGAGGACCTGCCACTTGCCCTGTTCAACGACAATGGTGAGTTCTTTAGTCAGTGGCCGTCTAACATGTTTGCGCCTATCTGGGAGGAGGGAGCACATCGTGCAACTGAGTAGAGTCAATGACAATACCCATCTTCAGAAACGGTTGCGCAGTAAATGTACTGAAAACAAGGGAGCCAAGTAGACTGCAGATTTAACAAGGCTTCTGGTGTCACTGATTCTCCATCATCTTAAGGCGGCACGCAAAAGCTAGAGACATGAGAATCATAGAAGCATCCAAACATCACTGTGTTCAGATTACAAATCATCTTCAAGTTCCTGGACATCAAGTGTGCGTTCGATTCTGTCAGTTGATTGGGGATTCTAACCGTGCTTACTCAACCAGGGGTGTCTCAAAGACTGGTGAACATAATCTGTTACTTACATTCACATAATTCCGAACATGTTATTTGTTTGGGGAGTCATCTAAAAGCCTCCCTACAAACAGTAGTGTCCTGTAAGGAAGTTCGCTTTCTCACTATTTTTCAACTCCATCATAGATGAACTACTGAGGTGAACGCAGCGGGTTCTTCAACTCCTTACTGGTGAGAACCCTGTCGATCTTCAGTAGTGACCACATCACCCTCATCTTCAACAACGAATACAAAGCATAAAGTGGCCACCATCACACCAGCCTTCGGTGTGCATCTAACACCTACAAGGTGCAGATTTATGCTCCAAAACATGCACCCTATGCCCCTGGCAACTCAGTGAGAAGCACTGTAGGTTGTGGAGCATTTTACATACCATCGTAGCTGTATTACTACTGACGGAAGTGTGCCTGATTAAGTCAGAGCACGAATATCAAAGGCACGAATCACGTTTGTTATTTGTATTGTTTACTAGGCGTATCACTCCCTCAAGGGTCGCAGGTACCAGACTTGGACAAAAGCTGTGTTGTTGTATAATTACGAGGCGTTGCTTCTGTAAACAGACGATCTGAGACATTTCCAGTGTTCTGACCACCCATATCTCAGGATCGTTATTGGTATTGGATGGCGTCAACAAATCCGTAACGGGGCAATTAGAAAATGGATGCTTGCTTGCGCATCAGATGTCTCGTTTGAGGTGGGACTGAAGCTTACCGTGTTGCGACGGTTTGTGGATTTCTGCAATCCACTAAGGTGTACCGAAAATTGCCCGTGTGACATTCGCAGTCAGTCATGTCAAGCTGGTCTGTGAATAGATGTCAGGCTTACACCTGGTTCCACGCTGGGGTTTGAAACTCCCATGGTGAGATTCCCCTAAAAAACTGCACTAAGCTAGTCGTATCACATTAAATATCGCTGCTATCCCGGTCAGGTCTTTCAGCCAAAAACTTTGGCTAAGGAACTTACTCACTTTTCTAATCAAAGGCGTTATGGAATGGCGTTCTAGGGAAACGCAAATCTGGTTGCCAGCGTCACATCTCAAGAAGGACTGCTGGACCTCAATTATGTGGATGACACCGTTGTACTATGCCTCTCCAGAAGCTATCCTTGAGGTCCTAGTTCAGAACATCCAACCTTATGTACACCTTTGAATACAAAACTTGAATATATTGATAAGTTCATTTATCTTGGCAGCTGCATAAGCCATAAGTGCATTGTGACACATGAAATTATTGCACGCATCACCAGGGCACGACACAATTTTTTCCGACCTGTGTCATCTTTGACGTGATAAACGAATTTCACTGAGAGAAAATAGCCGTGTTGGCGAAACAGTAGTGAGAGTAGCCTTAATTTACGACTTTTTTCGACTTTTCCGATATGAAAACTTGAGGATCTTCATAAACTTCACCACTGCTGTTTCCGTAATATAGTATGCTTTGAGTTGCTGCAGCTGTTTGTAGTCCATCCTCATAAACTTCACCACTGCTGTCTCTGTAATATAGTAGACTTTGAGTTGCTGCAGCTGTTTGTAGTCCAGCGCTAGGCAATGAGTCGGATTCGGTCGTGCAGCAAATAAAGCATATTAGGTTGAGGTGATTGTGACGTTTACTACCCATTCCTGACTGCCATGCTTCTCAAGGTAATTCCTTGTTAGCCGAAAGTTCACACAGGATAGGTCATGACGTGACAACGCGAATGAAGGCCATCAATATCAAGTTAAGCACTGTGAGATGTTTGCATCTTCCTGGGTGGGGCCCAAGTGATCGTCCTCGCGTGAGGCTGAAATCCCTGCAGGACATGGAGTACAACTGAATTCATTGGAAGGCTTGCTGGAAATTCCTGGTGGAGTTGCCTGGATAAAGTTGGTGTGTCGTTGCATGTTGGGTTTGCGCTGGGTGAGGTTCGCAAAGGAAACCAAGCGGTGAATTCATTGGAAGGCTTGCTAGAAATTTCTGGTGGAGTTACCTGGATAAAGGTAGTGTGTCGTTGCATGCTGGGTTTGCACTGGGTGAGGTTCGCAAAGGAAACCAAGCGTCTTGCTCCAACATGATGCTCAGATATGTTTATCCTGCTGGCGTTACAAGATTTAGGCACTTTGCTGTTAAAAATCTTCTTTAGAGACAAAGCTTTTTGTAATAAGCCCCCACTATTTCCCATTCATTTCATCATTTACTGTGCCATTCTGTCTCCACAGTTTCATTACGATTAAGCACCAGTTCACAGGACTAATCTATTGATACCTATGATTGATAATGAATTCAATCACGGAGGACTTCCAGCACCATCAACTGCCCTGACTGGATCGAGTGGTGAGCAGAGGAACGCCAATTTCAAAACTGATTTTGCTATTTCTAGCAGTCGTGATGATGACATTTAGGTAGACGAGGTATGAAAGCTTAAAGACAGGAACTGGTTTCAGTAGGTTTTGAAGACCCGAACTATGAAATTAAGTTGGTAAACATCCTGATCCTAATAAGCTTCAGGTGCAATATACCAACTTTAGCTTTGCGTTGTTTACTTTGTAACACCTCAGGTTTCGCGGAAACGCCACCAAAAATAGCCAGAAACTGGAAAGCTCTTTTATTTCTAAGCTCGGGAACTCCTCGAGAAGATAGCCCGACGGATCTCTGTTCACCATCTTGGCTTTTTTAAGCGTTGTTTTGAATCCAGGCTTGCCTAAGAATTAATTTTGGCCGGGAAAACCCTGAGTTTTATCGCAGCGAATTTTCTGTGTACTGGCAATTGGCACTATGTTGCTAAGGCTAGAATTCTCGGACGATACCAATGCTAAACACGGAATCCACAGACTAAGCATTTCACATGATCTTACCACATTTGCGTCAATGCCAGCCATGAGACCGACCAACCAAACAAGGCATTCTGTTGGTAGGCATGTGTAGGCGATAGACAGGCAAACCAGTTGGCCCGGAGGTCTCATGCAAAGACTGTACACCATGTGATGAAGCGTCTCCTGTGGAACCTTCGATAAGTTGTTTCGTGACAAATTCAACTCGTATAGTCGCTGCAGCGGACGCCATTGCAATATGAGGAAGTTTATATCTTCCGGTGATAAGCAGCAATCCTGAAGATACGCAAAAAGTGGTCTAAACTGTAGCGAAGTTTTTGGTATGCAATAAACTACTGAAAAGTTTTTCGCTGTTCAGTGTGGGTACGAGAGGAAAAACGCGTACAAAAGGACAGGCGAGTAAATATATGATCTAAACCTAGAATGAAAAGAGGATAACATAATAGTCTGCACATATCATAACTGGTTGCACCCGAAGTGTTAGCAATGAAGGGAGGCCTAGGGAAAAGTCCTGCAGTGAGAACTGCTGCCAAAATAAACACGTGATACTTTATCGTCCGCTAGCCCTAAACACGTGACGCAAGGCTGTCTAGCTAGATTAAAATCAATATCTGAATAGAAACGTACACCACCGCTAGACTATCAGACTAGCCTACGAAAGCAATCTGCACGTGACAAGTGGATGTCGAAATACAGACCTGAATAACAAACCCACCGAGCGCTTAAACGCCACTGACTAATATGACTGCTATCCAGACAAAAATACCTGATATGTACCATCAGTTTTGTCTGGAGTTTTAGTTACTTTTTAAAACAAGTAACAGTGCTGCACAGTTAGAGAACTAGACTTTGCAATCCGTCTTAGTACCACAAGCAAGTTACTTTTCACAAAAGCTATGGTCTCAGAGAAAACCTGAGTTTTACTCCTTCTGAGTACTTGGGCTCTTGATTAGATGTTATGATGTTAGATATTAAATGCTATAAGACGTATCTATCATTATGTAGGGATAAATCAGAAGCTAACCTGCAAGTTCAAATATTCAAGTGGTTGACTAAGTCCATTCAGTAGAATTTTCAACTGTCCAGTCAGGTGACATCTAGCCAACCCCAGGCGCTGCAGGTATCTCAGAGATATGAGTGCTCGATTGAGCAGACGACAAGCAGCCGCTGTGGACGTAAAAACTGGTGTAGACGTATGCTGATGAACCATCGCGTGGGACGATGATGCCCGGGAGCTACCGGCCTGCCAGTTTTCGCCGCTTCCACTACTCCCACCAGAAGGATGTGCTGAAAAAAAGTTGGATCCAGTCCGTGACGTTTGCAAAGGCGCGAAATCAGGTGGGGGTGGAATACAGGCTGGTAAGGAGCACGCTCGCAAATTTCGCAAACTGATCAACCATCCAACAGCAGATGGAAGGACAACAGCCAAACTGCTCCCAAGCGACGGATCTTCAAGTTCGAACTGAGTAATAGCCTGAAAATCAGTAGGCATGGTTTTATTTCAGTAAGATAAACTAAGATATACGAAAGATGACCTAACATAAGGCATGTGGTGTGATCCTACACACTTTTTGATGCTGGAAAACATCTAAACAAAACTGTGTCGAAAAGTTGAGTGCCAAACACACATGTGCACAAGAAGCAATGCACCATTGGTATGCCACATCGTGATGCTAAGTTGGCTGAGTTATTTTTAACATCTGTGACAGTGGACAAAATCGTTAACCACCTCCTGAAATATGCGAGAAGATAACAGCACTATCACGAATACCAGTGATGAAAATTTGGCATTCACCATACTTCAGTTCCGTAAATGTCGGAGCCGAACTTGTTACAACATACATTTACAACAGGTTCGTGCAATTTTCAACAGGACGAGGAGATTTTGAAATTTTGAATCTCGCCTCATGCTAATTTCGGACGAATCCTGCGTCAAAAGCCAGAGAATACATGTGACTCTACTTCACTCGCATGTCCAAACTATGACTCTTACATAAACATCGTGAAATCCTCTTTCTGATTATCAGTGTTTTACTATTAGTGCACAAAGAAGAGATTTTCAGTTTCACCAGTGTCTGCCTTTTATCTATGATTTTAGTACTTTGTGATCAACCAAAATCTCATTAAAAATTCACAAAGCTGCCATTGTGAGTAAACCCCTAAAAATCCCACTTGAGCTATGTATAATCCGTAGGTACAAAACTTCTAGAATACTAGGTGCCGGCTGGGTCTAAAGGGAAACATGGAAAACGGTAGAGAATCGCGGCTGAGGGGAATCACGCTTTCTAAGGCATATTGCAATCACTTCGGCATGGGTTCTGTCCGCCTTATCTTCTCATCACACTGACACACTACAGCCGCGCCACTTGCTGCGAGCTGACTGAACCTAAAAGGTATGAATTATCATTTCCAGAGATAGCTTCTTGGCGTTCGTTTCAGCAGAGCAGTTACTTGAAACCAGGTCGATAGGCTCATGTGTTACGAAATCGGTAGCCTAAGTTTACTCTAAATCCGGCTGCTAGTCGCCAAGTAGTATAGTAGTAGTAAGAAATGATATGTTGAGGGACAAATTCACTTCATAATGTCTCATCCACCGCACCTAATTTAAACCGAAATAAAATGAGAAAATTACGGGGCTGTGTGCATCGTTTATAGAGAACCGAAAAATGATGTGACTACTCAGTAAAATCAAGGTAGTCTCTGTGTGACACCAGAGTGATTCTGGAAGGCCAAAACAGACTTGAATCGACTATTAGATATTAGTTAAGGAAATTTCAATGTCACTGGTTAGCCGCTCCTTGCTTCGGTCTGGGGTGAAGAATAAAGTCCAGTTCTGGGTCCTCTCTCGACTGGGTACTTGACTTCTGACTTGTCAAAGCTAACTTAGGGGCAGCCGGTAGTGTACAAGGTCCTTACTTCGGAAAATGTCGTTGTAAAGTAGCCAAACAAGGATTTTGTACTGATCGTGGCTGCTGACCTCAGGATAGCTGATGACTTTACTGGTTTTACTGAGTCAAGCGCTGGCCTACTAGCTAGTAGTCTGGTGTTATCTTCGCCCACAGATACTCTTCTCAAAGGACACTGGACAAATTAGGCTTGCATTCCGTACTGCTCTCGTAGTGACCCGAATAGACCCTTGAGATTTCGATAGCACCTGGTAATCCCCCAACCAATAAGCTCACATATATTGTGGAGAAGAGCCCAAGTGTCATGGCCGGAGATTACTTACCACCTGTGTTTTGCCAATTGACTTACCAGTGGGTCAAACAAACGAATAAGGCTGTAGGGAGGGAAGTGAATTTCCGGTAACCGTTGGAGAAGTAGACGATTACAGGAGAACCGGAATGGAGTAAGCCACTGAAGTGAAAGACCAAGCGCTACTTCGTCCACCGTCATGTTGCAATCCAAATGCACTGTGACCGTTTCTAATTTTTTTCAAAACAAAGAATAACTCGGTACAATCGGAATAAAGTTTATGAAACTTGCTTGAAACACTGTAACTTTCATATTAAAACATGCATCACACTGGAATGTAAGACAGAAAAGCCTTATTCACCTTCGAGACGGACGTTGGTAGCGTTGGTATGGTGGATAGCTTAAAAAGGGACGGCTACTGGATCATTCAAAGGCAAATACGACCAAATGATAACGCAAGAGATAATGTCTGATGCCATGAACGTTTGTGAGTTGGCTAACCATCGGATCAGAATGATCATTAGAACAGCAAATATCGGCTGTGGTACCCAATTATACGGTTATTTCCAATCAGAAAGCAAAACTCTGTTAATTTTAATTCCTCCAGTAATTGAAAACGGTTATACTGCAACGCGGCCCCCATCCTGTCACTTCTTACGAGGATTATGGCCGGTCGCAGCCAGTCTCGATTGCTGTGGTGGCGGATTTATGTACTGTCACAGGATTGCTCTGGTGCTGTGTCTTTTCTTGGTTTTCAGTCACGTATGCGGAAAGTGAACATAGAAGAGACATGGGGCTTAGCAACGCCACCATCGCGATCCGGCTGGACGAAAAATTAGGGTTACGCTGAGTGCTGTGGGATTCGTACTTCATTTCAGTTTACATGCTATTACTGTTTGAGGGTGTCGGGATTCCGAAAGGAAGCGATGCGAAAACAAGAGGCCGCTGCTCACACTTACTGTTATTATTGTTACTGCGCCTCAACTGTTCCTCATTCAGTGATCTCGGTTCATGTTATTTATAGAGCAGCTATCTTTTTGTGAAAATTACGTAGTACATTAAGGACCACAGCTGTTCCTAGGTACAGTTCATGGCCTTTTCCACAGTTTATTCAGGAAGATACTACTTTTTACCATGATTGCCATGATTGCATATTCAACCGTTTTCTAGGTGTACGATTAGCGAAGTTCGAGTAATTCTCTAGCATTTCAAGGTTTGTGAAACCCCCGAAGGCTGATAAGCTGGCGAGAGACCTTTACGCATACTTATTGTTTAGGGACAATCATAGTCCTGTTTCAGAGATTCCTGATAATATGGAAATCTCCACAATGGTTGAATGCAGTTGTGTTTGATAAGAAAAGCTAGGTTTTGTTTAGCTGTCTGTAGTAATCTATTAGGTACATGCCAGTTCAATAATTTTCAGTTAGTTTTGTGGATAAGTACGGAGAATAGCTGGTATTTTGAAACGGACTTTTGTACGTAGGCTATTTCCAACCAAGAACACTACAAAAGTAACAAGATTGCTTTTGTTTTCTCTGACACCATGCGTTAGCATGGAATTCTGTATCAAAGGATATGTTAAACTCAGTATTTCCGACGTGATCCCGTGAGTTTGTCCGTAGGATTTGCTGGACTAGAAAATGATCTCACTTTGTCAGTGTATTATTGTCACGTTGTTAGTAACGTACAAGAAAATGCTAGCGCACCAGTTTGAGGCCCGTCTTCAGCATTGCGTCTAATCTGCAAACATGCGGGATAATTCTCCTGATAGCATATCAGAATGTTGGACCAACCATCTGGAGTGCGATCTCTAAGTGACCATGGTTATTTATTTACACCGACATAATGAACTTGGGAAACAAAGACATTTCAAACAAATATGTGTGCGCACTTAACGACCTTGCGGCCCGACGATGAACAAGCAAACCAGACAAACTTACCAAATGGTTCACCCCTCCCAATTGCCTCTTCATGAATTGCGTAGATTGAAGCAATGCGGGAAAAATAAGTTTCTAATCGTTTCCTAGGGATTCCGATGTGAAGACTTGCCATCAAGTGTCGCCTGACGTATTCGGAATTCCGATTCTCTGGTTTCATCCATAAAATTGGCAGGCGAGACAACTCGATGCTAACCCGACGATCTGCAACGAAAGTCACAAGATGCTGTACTGTCTCTTATATACAAAATGAAAGTGAATTGTAGTCTAACAGTCATTGCCGAAAATCAGGTGTTGGATTTTGGGTGAAACCTACATAATTCACAACTAATAGTGCTTTTTCTTCAGAAGCTACAGCAGTGGATAAAGTCAGATGGGTTGTTTAGCGGCAAATACATAACCATCATTTTTTCACTTTTATGGCTGAAAATACATGACTATCCCACTTTAAGATGAGGTTCCACGTATACAAAGTTGACGTGCACACTCACAAGAATATGGTCTATTTCTCAAGATAACCCTGTGGCTTTGTTGGTAAGGTCAGACAAATAGCTAGTATGGTGGTTAATTTTCCAACTGAGGATCAAGCCACTAGCTCATGTGGTGGAGAATCTATATCTTCCACTAATGGTCATATTGGAGACCTGTTTCGTTAATTTTAGCCAATAACTAGAATCATGTTGGAACTTCGGTTTTTGAGTACACTGATTCCACAAACACTGCCTTAATTGGTTCACCATTGATGATACCTATAGCCTAGGTCCAACGTTAAACTTGTGTTGTATCGTGGGTGGCCGTCTATTGATTACGCTCGGACTAAGCCTGCCAGATCGTGCAGTAATGGGAAGACAGAAGAATGCGGAACACGTCTGTATTTTCAGATCCACTGCTGAATGGCTGAATGGCCAAAATGATCATTCTCCTGCTCGTTCTGTCCAGCGAATGGCGACGATTCTGCTGTGGACATTTCAAAACCCACTCCCCTGGTCGCGTACTATTAGACCGTTTTTGGTAGGCTGTGCCCACGCACCTGTTGTCCGGAACGTGCTGTACCGATGGTGACATTAAGGACGTGTTGTCCTCTGCACATGTTCTTTTCATGCCCAGAGAAATTATTTATCGCTGACGTAGTGGTGCTAACGGTAATTTGCCGGTAAGGTACGTCAGTTATCGGCAGCTTGACCTGATGACTGCTGCTTTAACCTTATCCACATCCGCACTGGCGATATTACACAACTGCCTGTGTATTCAGCACTTCCCATCCGAATTCAATATTCGAGTCCCCTGATTATTGAGACACCAGGGCCGCTAACAATTACAATCGTATCTTCTTTGTTTTGGCCGAAGAAGCTGTCGGAACACGTGTTCGGCAACAGGAATTAACCCTTAATCTGTTACTACTTTTTTTTACCTGATACGGGCTTTAGTCTCATTCGAAAGAGAAAACAACAAATCTGCCGATTGTTTTCCAAACACTTCTGAAAGTGCGGGACTTTAGTTGGGACTGGTGAAATGGGCTGACTGAAAATAGGTCAACTGTAGCATCGGACAGTATCTCAACCAATCTCTAGCACACCCTTCAATCATCCGTCTGCAGTGTAGTTTGCGTCACTTGTTTTCAGGCAGTAAAAGTCCTGTGGTGAGAGATCAAGGTCATCACCACGATGTCAATCTTTGTGGTTTATTTCATTCACATGATTGCGATAAACAGATTAATTGACCTCAGCTTTTCGGAGCGTGGAGGAAAGTACTTTTGAAACTGAACAGTGTAGTTCACTTGTTTTCAGGCAGTAAAAGTCCTGTGGTGAGAGATCAAGGTCATCACCACGATGTCAATCTTTGTGGTTTATTTCATTCACATGATTGCGATAAACAGATTAATTGACCTCAGCTTTTCGGAGCGTGGAGGAAAGTACTTTTGAAACTGAAAAAACTGCTGCCGCTAAATTCGGTCTAGACAGGCGTGATCTCAAGATGAACTGGTGGTTTGTAGTAGCTCACGTTAACTGGTGTATTTTTGATGGCCAAATTCAAACAGTTACTGATCTTGTGTATTGTGCGACTGGCTTATCTCGGAGCGTTTGTGTCTGTTAGGAAACTAACTGCAGGCAGAATCTTCAAGATCGGGATAGTCCGCGGAAATACCGCACATTATATCACAAGTAAAATTTGCCCATCTCTTCACTGATATCCTTTAGTTGAAATCATCCCCTTGGATCCCATTGGCCCTAGAATATACCCACGATGAAATCGTAAGCCAAACAAATCTCGGCCCATTAAACGAAGAGTACGGCTCATGAAGAGGTTGCTTTTATGCGGCATAGAGTTCACACTCCACGAGGCATACTCAGTAAGTGGCCGCTAACTTCTGTTGTTATTAGCTTGAACATCTACAGGATTATTTTCGTAAAGGAAACTATTCACAAGGTTGCCGATGAGCTTTCAGCAACCTTGTGAGCAGTTTCCTTTGTAAGAATATACTGCGCTATCTCGAATATCGTGCCAACTGAATCATGAGGCGGCCTGTGTGCAGCACATTCAGTTGTAGAATCTCATAAACGAGAGATTCAGTAGAGTCTCTCGTGAAAACCAAATTGATTTGCAAGTGAGTGTATTTTCCGATCTACAGGATTAGTTTGCTCTATGAAGCTAACAAACATATCAGCTGCACAATTTTCTCAGTATCTTGCATGAATATCATCTCAAGTTTATTACGTTGGTACCATATTATATTCTTGATCAACTCAAACAAAAAACAAGTTGCGGTGGAGGCTGTCGAACGTGCATGACCAAGATTATCGATTCATTGTCCTACTCTACTTTCCACCGTTTTTACATTTAAGCCAAAACTGTTAGAAAGGCGCTTCGGAAGTGGAACAGAAGAAACAACAGTTGGTCATAGCCATTGGCCGTTTCGGAAGATGGTCACCGGGGAACGCGGGTTGCTAGAAGCAAAGAGATTATGCTTCGTATTTCACCCCGCAAATGCAGTCGGTGGATCCTGAAAATCAGATATTATGTCTTCTGTCAAAGCATAAATTATCAAATGATAGCCGGTGATTCGTAGTCGGAAACCAGTGTTCCGCTACTAGTAGAATCCCCTGAAGGTGCGTGAAACGCGTACTGCGGAGGGATCTCAAGAATTAAACAGCCCATTATTATCGGCAAGATAAATTTTCTATTGCAGCATCACAAACAATTTACACTCACGGATAAGCTTCCAAAGTAGGTAAAATTCCAGAAACTCTCATTCTGTCAAACGTAAAGCTGGTTACCACCAGATTATGTGAAATGTGAGGTTGAAGGAGAGACGCTGTAGGTTGCCTGGGAGTTACCTGAACTACTGATTAATCACTCATGGTCTAATGATATAGTGTACACAAGAAAACCAGATTACTGGTTCGTAATTCCTGAAAGATCCGTAAAATCATGGCTACAACAAGAGAAGAATCCTCCACAGGTTACATGTAAGGGTTTCATAAGCGAAGCTGGGCAACTTCAGAGGGACTGATTCAACCTGATGTGGTTGGACAAAGAAAATGGTCCGTATCTGGCGTTGGCCTCTTTTACAAAGCATTGGCGGTTTGAACATTAACTAATAGACTTTTTTTATTTTATCTGTCTTCCTTTCTTCAAAGCTACTGACCTACTTCGTCCAAAAAAGCAAATGAAATATCGTATTTATGCAGGTATCGAATGATTAGAATAGGTTCTCCATATAAACACCATGCGAAAATACTATCTCTACGGTAATCACGTTAATGTTATTTGTACCGTTTAAGTTCATCCTCGGGTAGCTAACAACAATCGCGTCTTATGGGAACCCGCAATATGGATGAAATTACTGAAATTCGGTTAAAAGTATAACGAGATCATTGAGTGATCATGAGATCATTGAATGATCCTCCTGTAATTGGCCGTCACTAATATTCGTGATATTTACGCTTATTAATTTACTGACGAAACATACATATCCACAGTCAGGCGTTGGGCAACAGGGAGAAAGCTGAAGTTTCCAAAGGAAAACATCTTTTTAGTAAATGGGATTAGTTACACCACCGGCTTCATCTGTTTCGTATTGGTTCCAAATCAGAAAATTCTAGTTTCGCATTTTGCCGTTCCTGTGCTGTCCATCTTTCGTCATTCTTGTGTTCGTTCCTGTCACAAAAGCCATCAGCAAGACAAAACGATTTTGTAGTCCTCATTCGTCTCTCATCTGAGTGAAAGTGCAGACTTAGAAAAAACACGAAACTGCAAGTCGGGTAACAGACGGCGACGATAAATCAGCTGACATCACGAACATCATACAGCATTCAACCACAGTGACCTGAAGATGGACAGACACAAGCAACACACACAATCAACCTAGCTTGCACGGAAATGACGTCACTAAAATGTACTGAACAGTTTGCGATTAATTGCTTAGGGTGCCGTTTTATTAAAAAAACATGTACTACACTTGAAAGTTAGACCTAGCTTTTGCAAAAGGTCGCAGCTATTTCCAAAGAGGAAGATGGGAGACAATGAAAGCACTGTCCTGATGAACAAGCACCTTGTTCTCAAAAATCCGGAATAAAGTTACCGTATCCCTGAAAGACTGCCTATGTACCGAAATTCTGGCTGAACGATGTGGTAAATGCAAACATAATTCCACTTGACTTTCGATAAGGTGGAAAAGAATTAGTTAGATCATCGTTTTGAGTAACCTTATTTTTCGATGCTTCAGGAAATGTCTGGCAACATGATTAGTTAACCGAGTAAATTGTGGTTGGAACAGGTATTTCAGAAGATCAACAACCATCTGTCAAAGAGGCACCTCAAAATGTTTGCGAACGATAAGTTATAACATGGCGACGGACAAACTCGGTGCTGTGAATTCACGTAATCCTTTTGAATTACATGTGATTCTTTACCTACTTCGTTGGCAACTACACAGCAAATGCGTAGAGTAAGCAGGCAAGCCGTCGGTGTATCATGGACTCGCAAAGACGACGGTTCAATCCTGACGATAGAGTCTCACTGCAGAGACATGCTTAAGTGTTTTTTTCGATATTTCAAGGTGTTAAAACCTCTAAGCATCGGGTGCTCGACCATGTTCTCTGAAATGGAACTTTCAATATATTTTCTTCAATGCTATTTGTCACTACTTTCTTCTTCATTGTCAAATGGTAGTTGAGTAACAACGTAAAATATTGGTATACTGCTTTGTAACCGGTAATTAAGACGTTGGTATCCACACACCAGAGACCAACAACACTTCGAACCTAATTAATTACAATATTCATGTGAAATACCAAGATGAGGTGACACGTTGGCGAATTTCAAGGATTTCATAAATGTAAGGCATTGTTTCTTTTCCTCACCGCGTTCTCTCCAATTTTCTTATCGCCTTACAAGCAGTGGACAAAAAGATTGTACACGGAGGCGATAGGATGGGATTTACCGAACAAAAGAGGAAGTGCTACGCCAAGTTAGAGCCGAAAATGACTCTTTAGAACTGGCTAATGATTCCTGATAAACGTTTACCCGATTTCCTAATGTCCGCTTATTTTCATCCATGTTCTGGTATCAGGGTCAATGTGAAAGTGAGAGGAATCCCATGGTCGATGTGAGAGGAAACATACCCAAAAACACCTTTACGATATGGCCCGTGGGGATTTGGAACAAACTGGGACAAGCATCTGACGATTTGCAAGAAATGAAGTTCTCTTACTGCTATGATATTGCTTAACATAGAATTTCTAATCAAACGAGAATGCGACTGCACTTTAAGGATCTGATGGCCCTCAAATAATCCGCATATGGTTTTAGTATTCTGTCTACAAAAACCAAGATGGCCGACTGGAATTCTCCTGGAATTGGCCTAAAAGCAGAATGATAGATAGGCCCGACTGTGGTTAAAAGATATATATACTTAAATCAGCTTGTTTTTATTCAAGTATTATCTAGCCTCCATCTTTAGTCAGTATCATTTATTTAATTTCAGAAATTTCAGCGTTACTTTCGAGGAATGTTTTCCTAAATATACAGTCATCCTCCGAATTCAGACAGACCTTGGGAAACTTCCTCAGATAAGGTCAATCTGTTTAAATTTACCACAGAACGCTGGGCACGTCTATCATTTGTTGAGCACCACCTGCTGTGACTGCCTACTATGTAATCGCGAACGTGCACACTATCGTATGCAGCATGCGTTTGGGTTTCGGTTAGAGGCAACATTGTGTCAACTCAACGAAACAAATCTGTACGTACTGGGAAGCAAACGGACTACACCACCGTTCTGAACCTATTGAATTTCTCAGAAGGTAGCTGTCCGGACTTTTTTTGCATCCCCTAAATAGTCTAACGAAGCATGCAGAACATATTCCCACGGTAGGTGATTGGCAGAGTGGAGAGTATTATTATTAGAATAGTCTCCCTTGTCTCCATTATTTTGCTTATTACTGATTCAGGAGAAGCAGTCTTTATTTGAACTACTATCAAAACAAGAGTTGATTTGGTGAACTAAAACATGTCATTGGGAGACTGTTCTATCTCAGCAGTCATCCAAATCTTCCTGTTCTGCAGCTCTTGCACAAAGGCCACCTCGCGTTTCCGGGGGTACGATATTCCGGATAGCGGAGTATATTTCCTCGACAGAACCCATTACTCTTAAATTGGTCCGGTGTAATTCGTTTTTGGTTCAAACCACGGTTTATCCATTTTCCACTTAAGGCTGCGCAGTAGTTAATCGGATCATGTACTCCTAAAGCGCAGTTTTACCAAGCAGCTGCCACCCCCTCGACGTGAATAAGTAGCTCTTAATCATTTCCCTAATATTCATCTTCAACATTCCCTTTTATTTCAATTAGTCATGTCAGTAAGTTGATACGGCGAATCGCTGGATAGTGTAAAATGTACGGGTTTATTTCATTGAATTTGCTTTACCCGCTGACCCTGTGAGTTGATACAAAGTAAAGTCAATAAAACATTTTCTGGCAGATCAGCCGCCTTCAGTGTCTGGGTGACAGTGTTATCCTCAAAAGCTCTCCGTCACTCCGTCGTGTTTAATCAAATCGTTTTTCTTAATTATTCACTGTAACCCACAGTGCGATTTGCACTGTAAAACTTGGTAACTAACTCGTAGAACAGATGTGGGGTTTAGTGCAGTCTATGTTCATCTGTGAATACGATCGCCGATGGACTATTTTGTGACATTGGTATGCCTTTAACCTTCGCGAAAAATGGTTACTCATCAGTGAAGTAAGCGCTATAAATCACCCAGTGCCCATTCAGAGATGCAATTTCCCACTGTTTGACAAACCACCAGTTGTAACCTCTGATCATTTATTTAAACAATTTTTATTATGCCTGCTCCCTCGTCTAGAATTCTTACTGTTCCATAAGCTGACAGTAACCAAAAAGTAGCCATTTGCAAAATTAGTTCCCAAAGGAAATCAGTTTTCGCCAATTTTTCAGAAGATTAGAAGACTAGAGAAAACAGAAACATAACAAAACGAGAAATTCAGTCTTCTCAAATAGGGTGTTTGAACTATGAGATGAAATATTGATAGAAACTTACACAGATGATATGATGATTTACACTTTCGTTTGGGAAACTGCGTTTGATTCCTTCAGTTTTTTTGACTGTATAAAAGACAGAAGTGAGCTTCCGGAAAATGATATTACAAGCATTTATTTGTACAATACGTCCAGGTTTTTGTAATAAACGGAGGTCAGAAAACTCGGTCATCTGACTCTCGCGTATATAAAGTAAAGCCGGTGGTGCAACAAACTCTGAGAAGATTTACGTGTATCTAGAAACGTTGGCGGGTCAATGCGGTCTCCGTATTGTAACCATCAGGACACAATGACTACATTTTACTATAAGAATTAGTCACAGACTTAAGTTGGGAAGTGGAAGGACAAACACAATGAAATCACTTCCAATAGGAAATACCCTTGGTTCTGTGACTAATTAAAAGAAACGCTAGAAGGCACTCATCTTAGATGCAAGGAGAGCGGTTTCTTGTCCTAAAAATTTGCCAGTTTTTTGTAGAAACCGCGGTAGACCGGAAAGGTTATAGGATAATATACCATGCGGCACAAGAGTAGAAAATCTTGTAACAAGGCTATTCATCGAGTGAAAATCCAATTTTGAAAAATTTCGCCTCTGAAACTCCAGGTGGTTGAGTCAAATCACTAGCTTTGTGCTAACGAAATCAAACAGATGGCACAATAGTTAACGTACAGCTTTCTTGACTCACTGTAAGTGAGTAAGTAAGTGTAGTAAGTAAGTGTAAGTAAGTATATCTGTTTGGCGCGCACTTCCCGACAACAGCCTTACTGGAAGATCCAATGCCGAAGCGTAAGGGGTCCGCCTTAACTGCAGACACTTCAATCCGTCCTGTATGGTAATGCGGAGAAACTTTCAACAGTCTTTAGTCAAAAATATGTCCGAAAAATCACTCCGCTAGGTCTATTTTCGCAAACACTTACCCATGCAGTTGGGTGAGTGGAACAGAAAGGCATGCACAGCTGGTCAGCAGCTGGCAGAAGTTGGTTGAAAATCATCAACCTCAAGTGTGAGAAAGTACATTTAGGAGGCAACAGGCTATCTGCTTAAATGGCTATATTCGCAGACAGGCAGAGATGCTTACAGAAACATACACATTTGGTTAACTGATTTGTAGGACACTTAGTGTTAGAGATGCACGGTTTTTTCGTTTCACTTTCGACTTTCACCACGATGCGCGGGACCTTAACTCTATGGAGCATATTAACTGCCAGTCTGAATTACTAGAGCGAATCATACGGTACGAGAATGAAGACATATTGAACAATGGGTGAAAGAGTGAGCCTGTATCTCGTTCGATTTCGAGCTAATTTACTCCCAGTGTACTACGTGAATCAGGGGACGACTGTTGGGGGAGGGTTGAGAATGGGAAAGTAGAATTTCACAGAATCTCATAGAACTTCTATGAAAAAAAAGAATGAGATCAAGAAATTTGTTGTACGTATCTTTAACAGTATGAGAAATAAGGTTGTTAAATTATGTGGTAAACTGGTTCATCCACGAGGATCGGCACGGCACGCAGTTTGTTCTTTCTCCTTGAGGGATCTGTGCCACATTTCCTCATGCCAAATTCATCCTCATCGCCTTTTGGTCCAACGACCTGTACCAGCCCCACCATATTTGTGGCATTCAAGATCGACTTAGATTACTTCTTAGGTGACGCATAACTGCACTTCGCATATCAGTGCTGCTTGTCCATGAATTTGTAGGTCTCGAAAGACGACAAATTGACAGCATTAAATAATAACATTGAATAATCCGCTTTCACCCGATGTTTGAGCTTTAGACCTTACCACTCAGATGTTTTCAGCGGTGGCGTATATCAGTAGCTACTACTGCGCAGAGACTAGTGATTCCTGTTATCCATATTTCATGAAAATTTAAAACTAGACGCGTTCGTTTGGTGTTGATTGTAGGGTAATATTATTCATTACAAATTTACAGAGTGCAGGCGGTATAGAATATAACCAACGATGCTCACCTTCTTCAAACCCCGTGAAATCCAAAGAAGACAGTTTGCATGCAGGTTGTCTAGTCAAGAGTCCCAAAATAAACGCATCCATAAGGCTTGGACCCTTCACCAAAGTTGTGCGATTTCCTCGACCCGTTTCTGGACTGACTAGAACAAACGAAGGCTTAGTCAGGTAGCTTGAGGATAAAGGAAATTCTTCTGGTGGGATTAGACGCCGGATAGCCATTTGTTCTTCCGGCCAGTTGGCCACGAGACCTGCAATCGCTGCACAGTCTCTTTGAAGTATGGCCTCGCCCAACAGACTGTTCAGTATGTTTTTGGGCAAATCGTGGTAAGTCATTGGACGGATAGGGCTTCTGTCAACGGTGGACGTGCTTCCATCAATACCAGTGTCTTCATGATTACGAGTTCCATGTTGAATTCGTGAAGAAACGCTAAATGCTCTTCTGCCGGGTCCATTATTAGGTCGAGAACTTTCGGACGACTGGGTACGAGATTCACGGGAACTGAATAAAAAATTCACCACATTGCGCAGCGAAGGCTGTCTTGGAGGCAACATACATGGCCAGTCCCGAACTAGACGCGCCATACAGACTTCAGTTAATTTCCTTCAGATAAAGAAAAAAGGAGTAAACTTAGTTTGACTTTGTTTTGGTTATCACTAAACAGCAATCTTCATGTATATGAAACTTGAATTACATTGCAAATTCAGTGGGGCTTTTCGAGAAAACACCTATTGCTTCCACGCTAAACCAGAGGAAAAATCCAAGGATCACTTTTTAAACTTCCGCACTATCCTTCAAATAGTTGTATTTGGCATATATTTATGCGCTTACAACAGGCATTTATCATCAAGCTGCAAGACAGAGCTGTCCAAGTTACCATTGAAATTAGGTAGCAACTACATACCTATATGGGGCTGTGGTTGTCGATTCTCTGCCTGAAACTCGAGACCATCCCTGAGTGTTGTAAGAGCGCTAACATTCCTACACATTTCACATAGTAAGTTTATTGGATTAGATAGAGCAAACCTGTTGTAAACTTATTCCCTCCAAGAGAAAAATCACTCAAGAATACTGGAGATAAAAGTTGACCAAGTCCATGGAAATGAACAAAATGATATCAGCTAATACGATTTCCAAAGGTTCTGTAGGTCGTATTGTGTGAGACCACAAAATTTACTGGGCTTGTACGCGGAAAGCGTCAAAGTTGGTGAAATTGTATCAAACAATCCATAGGCTACTCAGTCAACTTTGCATCCACGGCTATGTCACTGAGTTCGTTAGAAAACGATATATTCCGATGAATTGCGTTAAACTGAGACGTGCAGTGAACACGAAGGGCAACTGGTAGCTGTTCGTCAACCTTGGCCCAGCCAAAGTTGGGAACACGTTTGGCAAGCAAACGAAAGCTCCTACTAAGTTTGTCATGAAGTTCTTTTGAGGATGGAATATGTCTATCCATTTTCGGACTAAAAGAGTTGTTGAATTCTTCAAAAAGCGACTCTCACCGTGGTCACACTTAGATTCACACCTGTGAGCCATCGACTCTGTGTGGTGCTGTAGGTTCGCACCGTAAATACAGCCTTTATCCTACATACGCGTCACCCAGTAATTTAAGATTGTCCGTCGACGTACAAGTATCCCATGTAGGTAACCACAAGGGTACGCCCATTTGGAAAGCATTTGGTCTACTCAAAATCGTGGTTATACAACCTCCAGTTGTGTTACATTTTATCCAAAAATTATTCATATCATAACGCCACTTGAAATAAGATCGTACTGGTTTATCTCAGCATTCAGTACGTTCTGCAGTGATCGGTATACGCAGTTAGTCTCAGGTTGAAAATCATCCTTTTTGTAAAACCCATGGATACAGACCAATGTTCAATACGGTTGAGAACTTCGACTGATTCAGCTAGCCGAGTTTTGCGTAGCTTGTTTGGAACTTCAACAACATGTTCGATATTCACTTTTTCTTTAGTTTGCAGTCGTTCAGGTCGTGCAACGGGCCAAATACATATTCCTTTTCAGCAAGCTAGTGGATTCTCTTTGGTGCATCTTTGTTCATCAACGTGACTTCATTGACATCATTTTCATAGATGAACTTTCAAACTATTGCCCGAAACATTTTTCTTCTCATTCTGGCGACGCTGACTGTAGGGTAAGCAATCAAACTCAAACCCCGTTATTTCGATGAGTCTAACAGTTCCTCGCATCGACAGCGCTCTAACCTAAGTCTACAGTGTTGTCTTGTTGAACTAACCGTCTTGTTCGACGAAATCATCTATCACGCGGTTGCCATTTTTGACCGAGAGCGATTTAACCGGGATTTATTGTTTCGACTGCAGTAACGCGGTATAAAGTTGAATGCTGAGCATTCTGATGTTTTCCGGGTTAATGCGTGTAAATTATCCTATGTGATCAGTTCGACTGTTTGCAATAAAGAATAATCTTTTGGTGAGGTGACCGTCAATTCCAATTTGGCTTATGTTGTGTGTCAAGACGAACAGAGGAATCTTAGCCAAATTCACGCTCTTTAGAAATCAGGCACTCAGGGTTCGGATTATCATTCTCATGCTATCCCGGATTAAGTCGCCTAAATTGTTAGCCCTTGCAAACAAGACACTTATACTATGTAAGTACACAAGTAGTGCAGACGCTTTATTCAAATGAACTAGAATACACCTGATGCTTATGAGTTCCAGGATTTATCAGAGAAGTTCCGGAAGGCAAGATAGGTTTGTTTTGTGTTAACCTAAAAAAAGTGTACAGTCCATCAGTATCGATGGAATGCTTGGTTCATCAAACAAGCGTTTTACGACACTTAAGTCAAACGAAGTCTTTATGAGATCGCCCCTATATCCATAAATGGTACCCAAGAGAAGCAAGTCCCTTTATTCCCGTACACTTCTATCTTTCATAAACGGCTTTTGGACTTGTGTGAATGCGCCTGCCTCATTTTCTTAGTTATTCTGTAGAAAGATAATCCTGATACAATAAATTATTGTAGCATATTACCATCCTAGTAGTCGCTTCTATAAAACGCAGATCGTGGTAATAATTTGAACTAGCGTCGAATAAAGAATGGGTTATACTTACGACCTAAATCCAAACACTATCAAACGTCTGTCTGAATCCCGTCCTTTAATCCACTACTTTCTGTGGTCCGCAAGTCCTCTTTAGCTTTCTACAAAATTACGCGCCAAAGTTTTAATACCCACGAGAAGAATATTTCGCTCTCTAGTCAAAGTTCAACCTTAGAGGACCATCAGTCCTACTGAAAATGTCTGGTTTATTTTCCACTTTGGTCAACGTCTTCTACTTCTGATCACTGAACCATTCTTCATACACTTCCTGCTTCTACGCCTATTGTATTCAGTAAAAGACAGCAACATTAATACTAGGCTTCTTATCTCCGTCAGGAAAAATGAAGGGTCGTCTGGGGCCGGAAGTCGGACGCCTGGTGAAGATGCAGTACCATTTGTTGGAATAAATTGATGTTCGGTCACGTTTGTTGATAAGTGGAAATTTGTCCCCACGTTGACGACTGTCAATCATCAGCCACTGAGGCAGATGTTGGTAGCTCAGGTAACAGCCGAGTGGATCAAACCATCAGTAAACTGTTAGGAGCCGATATATTACGCACTGCGATGGTGAACACTTTCCGGCAGTTAACCAGCATTTCCGCTCTGTTAAAGACCATCAAAAAGTTAAGGTGCTAAGATGAGGAACTGGTGCACCAACTGGTATTCACTAATCCTATGGAAAGTGTGTTATATTGAGTGGAAGTATTATAGTATCATTGAACTTTGGGCCAAATGAAGCTCGAGACAGTCTATTTGTAGCACGTTCGGTTAAAATCCAGCACGAACAAGATACATATTTATTTAACGTTGAAGTTCTGTAAGTTTGAAAGTCAGTATGTTGTTCAAAACCCGTTTTCATAGATTGTTCTTCCAAATGAGCATAAAATAGTGACAGTCGTGATCTTACGGAATTCACTGTTTTGGTCTAACACGGCTAGTTGAAGAAGAAAACTAGAATACCGTGACTCTAGTTGATGATAAACGAAAAGTTTGGGCATGAATCGTCCCACACATCTGTCTGAACAACAGCGATGACGAAAATGGATTTGGTACAACACAAGATAAAACTCACTACCACGAACATCCGACAGGCGGAAGTAACTTCGCCAAAAACTCACCACAAATATTCATTAATTCGGAAATTTGCAGGAAACATAATGGTGCAAAGTGTTAACTACGTACAATTGGTTACAGTGTTTATATATAAGTGTTATGGAGCCACAACTGATGGCGAAAAACTGTCCTACAAGACTTTTGATTTGGAACTTATAGGCGTCTGTGTGATAATAGTGGCACCTATTCGAGTGAAAAGACATGAAACAAACGCGTTGGATGTATTCGAGTACAGTTCACTAATCTCCACTTACGAACCACACGGCCCAAGTTCAACACTCACACACAGAGTTCTGTGTGAAATGCGAGGCGAACGTTATACACTCGTTTCTCAGTGTAATTGGTGCTCAAAAGCCAGTAAAGACAATGCGGACGCTAAATAGCATTAAATTTGTTTTGAACAGACAAAAGGACCCTTCAGGCGTATCGAATCTTCAATTAGATTGACTGCCGAGAAAGTACCAAGAACCTAGAGGTACCCAAAGTTGCCAATGGAGCTGGTGTGCTATCTGATTCCAACTCGCACATACTAGCAGCTGCAAGGAATAACGAATGAACATATATATATATATATATTATATATGTACATATATATATATATATATAATATGTCTAATTGTCTGTGCGCCCTGGAAAGCAAGACTCCAAGG